GCTAGGATCTAGAAGTAGGATTTCTGGGTCAAAAGTGTATATTTAAAATAAATTTGGTAGTTGCTGCAGGATTGCACTTTTTTTTTTTTTTTTTTGGAGACAGGGTCTCACTATGCAGTTCAGGCTGGCCTTGAACTCATTATATAGTCCAGGCTAGTGTCAAAGTTGAGGTGATCCTCCTGCCTCAGCCTCCCAAGTGCTGGAATTACAGACATGAATCCAGCCCCTGATTGCAATTCTTAAAAAACGTTTTTCTGGAAAGTGTTGGGGTTTGAAATGTGCCTTCTAGCACTGAACTACAGCCCTAGCCCTGGAAGTTTTTACTGATTATACTGAGACCGAAAGTATATGAACGTTTTTTTCTAAATCTCTATCAATGTTAAATCATATGAAGCTTTTACAGATTTGTCCATCTGAAGATCAAAGATGGCATCTCATTATGGTGATATGCTTTTCCTTGTTTGTGAACATCAGATTACAAAGACTCTGATTTCTGCTTTGGGGAGGGGGTCTGGGGCTTACTGGAAAAATATGAACATACCTAGGAACCTTGGGAAACTTGGAAAAAACGGACCTTAGTACAGCAGGAAATAAAGCAGTTTCAGAGCTCACTGTTTTCTCCATTGGCTCTGAGTTAGGATTCCTCTCCCTTGTGAGGATCTCTTCTGCTCTCCTTTGTCTCCCAGCTGGGTTTCTCTGCTTACCCATCTTGCGCAAAATCCATCATAGCTGCTCCAATGGAGTCTATTACATCTTTCCTTCTAGCTTTAGCACCAGTCCCCAACTTACCTGTATTCCTTTCTTCCTTTTTCATTTAATTTTTTGTCTTTTTGAGAGAGGGTCTCACTATGCAGTTCAGGCTCACCTTGAACTCACTTTATAGCCCATGCTGGCCTCAAACTCACAGCAGTCCTCCTGCCTCAGCCTTCCAAGTGCTGGGATGACAGGCATGTGCCTCCATGCCCGGCTGAAATCTTTTGAGAAGGAATCAGATTGGTCTCTGCATTTCGCCAGCTGTGGATTTGCTGTTCTTGGGTTGTGACAACATCTGTTCTGGTCAACTGTGTATGACTGGATAGAGGGGTGGAGAACAAGATCATATAATGCAAGACATAGCTCGGGCTGGGAGCGTAGTTAGTGATAGGATACTTGCCTAGGGTGTGTGAGACCCTGTATTTGATCCCCAGCACCACAAAAACAAAACCAAACACAAAAAAATGCCAGTAGAGTAGCTCGTGGACTAATGCATGAGTACTGGTGGATATGTGTGGGAATTCCCTTTATATATATGGGCGTTTATCTTTATATATCTTTAGTATAATTATAAAGTTTCCCTGTTAGTAAGTATAAAACTACATAATTTTAAATGATACTTGAAAAATTTGTCTTCTATTAGAAGTGTATGATGTGTGGTGGCAAAGGCCTGTAATCCCAGCACTCGGGAGGCTGAGGCAGGAGGATCCTTGGGAGTTCAAGGCCAGCCTGGGCTACAAAGTGAGCTCAAGGCAACCTGAACTGCATAGTGAAACCCTGTCACAAAAAGACAAAAAAAGAAAAAAAAAAAAGTATATGAGAGGGCCCATTTTCTCACATCTTAGCTGACATTGAGTAATTATTTAAGCAGTGTTTGTGACTTTGATGTGTTAAAAGTGAGAGTGCCATTTTTTCATTTTATAAAATGATGGATTTCTGCATAGAAAACAAACCCTCAGTTCATGGCCCTTAATCATGACCAGAGGGTATGTAACAGGGTGACTACAGAATATGCTGTGTTAAGCAGTCAGTTTTGTCTTTTTGTTTTTGTGAGACAAGGTCTCACTATGTATTTTAGGCTGGCCTTGAGCTCACTATGTAGGCCAAGCGGGCCGGCCTGGAACTCATGTTAATCCTCTTGCCTCAGCCTCCCAAGTTCTGGGATAGCAGACCTGTGCTGCCACGCCCAGCTACCTTTATTTTCTTAAAATTTTATTTGTTTGCTTGTTTGTTTGTTTATGGCACTAGGAATTGAATTGAGGGCCTCTGCACTGAACTAGATCCCCAACTCTTTTTTAAAAAAAGTTTTTATTTTGAGACAAGGTCTGGATAAATCACTGAATTGTCTAGGTTGGAGTCAAACTTGGGGTCCTCTTGCCTCGGCCTCTCAGAGTGCTAAGGTTACGTGTGTGTGCCACTATACCTGGTTGCCTTTGCTTAATCCTGTTTATTTTTTCAGGCTACAGAATTTTCTTTTCTCAACTGTGTGACAACGTTGCTTTTTATATAATTTGTGCTTTAGGCCAGACTATGTAGATCAAATTTCAAATCCACTTCCTTTATAAGTATTTTCCTTGAATTTTTGTTTCTCTTGAAAGCTGGGCAGTTGTTATCTTATTTTTTTTTTCTAAACTGCGAATGAGCTCTAAAATCAATTTAGTAGATTCTGTCTCACTAGAATAGTATCATATGTATGTATCATATTGTGATATTTTAAATAATGTATCATATTTTATATTTAATGAAGCTTTTGTGTCAGTTTACATGTATATATAAATCTCTTCTAGGTCATATGCAAAATAGTTCTTAAAATTTGAAAAACATGTTTTAAGTTAGTGTGTAGTTTTATAATTCTTGCAACTCTATTGTGCCTTCATTTTTGCAATGTGAAAATGCACTTTTGGTACTTTAATTTGTATACTACTTAATTCCAACGGCTTTGATATTGGGCAGCAATCCGAGTACTGAGCCTAATATTTCTATTTTATTTTACATTTTTTTAAAGATAAATTTAACACATATGTGACCCTGAAAGTACAGAATGTAAAGAGCACAACTGTCGCAGTCCGTGGTGACCAGCCTTCCTGGGAACAGGATTTCATGTTGTAAGTACTGCGCGGCGGCAGCGTGCGCACTTGTGATCTTTCAAAGGTGACGGCATTGCGTGAAACGCATGTGCCTGAGATTTATCAGACGTGCAGATGCCGTGGAACACTTCTGCACGAACACTGCAGCTACAGGCTCACGTGAGACCTGAGATGTGGTAGATGGGTGAGGTAGATCTTCACTTTCTAACGTCTCGTGGACGTGTGTGTGTGGGGTAACTGGTGACTGAACTCAGGGCCTTTGCACAAAACAACATCCCTAGCCTTTTATATTTTGTATTTTGAGACAAGGTCTTGATAAATTGCTCAGGCTGGACTTGAATTTGCAGGCTTCCTGCTTCAGCCTCCCAGAGTGCTGGGATTCTAGGTACCACCACATGCTCAGCTTTATAATCTGTTCTAACATGAATGGTGAATGTGAGTGAGCCCCCGATTAATTCACAACTAGTCGGGTTTTCTTAGTGGTCAGAGGTACACTGTAGACCTAATATAATAGTAAACATAACTTCACCTTTGTTTCTTAGAGAGCTCTGAGGAAATGTGGCTGTGTGTGTACATAAGTCATCTGCCCTAGAGGATGAAGATTGAGTGTAAAGTCCTCCTGCTTTATTGAGTAAAAATGTTCTATATTCACTTAATTGATACGTAAACATTAGTAGAATTTGAGTAAGACAAAAAATTAATGTATTTTTATTTTAAACTCTGGCTTTGAAAACTTGCTATTCGCCCCTACTCCCATAAATTTCAGGAATACCCCCTCCCCAAAGGGACAGGAAATACAGAATATCATACTGATATTCTATGTAGGGCTAAGCACTTAACTTTTCTGAAGCCAATTTCCTTATCTGGAAAGGTCTTCCTTTCTTAAAAAGGTTTTACTATTTTCTTGAGAGTAGGAGGTAGGCACAAAGAGGTCAAGAGAAAATATATAAATTCTTCTTTGTAAATTTCTCTGAAGTTTGAAATTAAAGTGAATGTACTTTGTTAAGTTTTACAGCGGAGTTCAAAAAAATAATAAGGGCTGATTCTTACGTTTATGGGGAACCATTTTAATCTTCTGGGCATTAATGAATTGCCCTTCAAAGTACCATTTAGGGCTAGGCGTGGTGGCACATGCCTGTAATCCCAGCACTCGGGAGGCTGAGGCAGGAGGATCATTGCAAGTTTGAGGCCAGCCTGGGTTACAAAGTGAGCTCAAGGTCAGCCTGAACTGCATAGCGAGACCCTGTCACAAAAAAAAAAAAAGTACCATTTAGGAGGCTTTATCATGATAGTTAGATGGTAATGATACTTAACAGGTAAGCTTAGGAAGGTGTGAAGGAACACAGTAGCAGGAGGGATAGAGCAGAAAAGATGCATAGAAGATGTTAAGGTGGTAGAACCAAAAGATTTGTTGGAATGATTGGCAGGTGGTGTGCCCCTTTATTTCCTTCTCTCAACCCCTCCCGTCCTTTGCCTTCCCCTGGGGATCAAGCTCAGAGCCTCATGCATGCTAGGCAGTTTTGCTACTGAGCTATACCTCCAGCCTGCTGTGCCATTTATTGGAGTAGGGGTTAATGTAAGATCGATTATGGAGGGCTGGGCATGGTGGTACACATTTGTAATCCCAGCACTTGGGAGGCTGAGGCAGGAGGATCACTGCGAGTTCCAGGCCAGCCTGAGCTACAAAGTGAGTTCAAGACCAACCTGAACTGCATAGCAAGACCCTGACTCAAAAAGAAAAAAAAAAAATCAATTATGAATAAGCCTATATTTGAGGTTCTTATTGGCAAGTAGGCTATAGGTCCAGAAGATAGTTATAAACCGTAACCTGCCACTTTGGGAGGAAGTCTGGTTTCAAGAAATAGTTGGGTCTCTGGAAGACATAAGTGTAGATGAAAATTTAGGACGAGAGTGTGCAGTGAGCAAAGGACTGGGCGGAACTGGACAGCAGCAGCAGTCGCGGGGACTGAGGAGGTGGAGAAGGAATGGCCGGAGAGAGGAAGGGATCGGGAGACAGAGGTGTCAGTGGAAGCTCAGGTTTCAGACAGGAGACTGATGGGTCACGCTCCTCACTTGCTGCCTCTCGCGGGCGTGAGGCCCTTTTATTCCTCTCGTATTCGCAGTGACGTGGGGGTGAGACTGCCTGTTCCGTTCCCCGCTCGCGGTGTGCAGACTCAGCAGCGAGCGGGTCGCGGGCTTCCCGTGGGAGCTGCCGCGCAGTGGCAGGGCTGTCAGTGCGGCCGCGCTGCTCTCCGCCGCCTTCCGGGCCGGGGCTGCGCTGTGGTTGTCGTTGCGCGCGGAGCGCAGTGGTGTTCTGCAGTCCTTGTCAGGACGGCTAGCTGTACTCGCACGTTCGTTTTCCCGTTGCCTGTCCTCTTGCCCTTCAGCTCTTGTACGTGTGTGCTTTCTTCCATCTCCCACATCGAGACGTGCGTGCTGTTGCCCTTTCCCTTTCCACGGGCTTTTTCTTAGCTATTTCTTGTGCCTCTGTGCGCCTCCTGCCCTGTCCTCTTCCCAGCAGCCCCCCTGCCGGTCTCCCGCCTCCCTCCTCCCTCCTTTCTCCTCCTTCCTGGTACGTTAAGCAACAGTTTCTCACATTTGCATTTGTGTTTCTGTGTCCAGTTTTTTTGTTGTCTTTTTGAGACAGGATTTTACTTTGTAGCCCAGGCTGGCCTCAAACTCGCAGTGATCCTCCCGCCTCAGCCTCCCAAGTGGTGGGATTGCAGGCATGTGGCACCACATCCCCCTCTGTGTCTAATTTTAGGGTTAGAGTTTTCTTTGTTCCCTCTCCCTGCATCGGCCGCTCCCTCTTTGTTTTTTGCTGGTGGTGGTTCTGGCAATTGGACCCAGGACTTATTGAATACTAGGCAAGTGTCAGCCCTGAGCCACTTGCCCAGATCTCTGTATTTTAAGACAAAGTCTTGCTAAATTTTCAAACTTGTCCTGAGGTTTTAATCCTCCTGTTTCAGTTCTGGCAAGCTGGAAGCTGGGATCATAGGCATATGCCACCATATCCTATTGATTGATTGATTGATTGATTGATTGATTGATTTTCTCGGTACCGGGAACCGAACTCATGACCTTGTGCTGGCCAGTTAGGCGCTGTGCCGCTGAGCTAAATCCCCAGCCCCCATATCCAGTTTAGATTGATGGATTGCTATCCATCTGCCCGCCCACCCACCTGCCTGCCTGCCTGCCTGCCTGCCTCCCTCCCTTCCTTCCTTCCTTTTTTTGTAGTATTGGGGATTGAACTCAGGGCCCTCACACTAGGATAATCCCTAGCCCTTTTAATTTTTGTATTTTGAGGTAGGTTCTCCCTAAATTGCTCAGGCTGGGGTTGAACTGGTAGTCTTCCTGCCTCAGCCTCCCACTGTGCCACTGTGCCCAGCCTAGATTTTTTTTTTCCTGCTTTGTAGTCCAGGCTGGTCTTGAACTCACTGAGTAGCCCAGGCTGGCCTCAAACTCCTGGCATTCCTCCCTCCTCAGCCTCCCGAGTGCTGGAAGTACAGGTGTGTGCCACCATGTCTGGCAGATTGTTCCTTTCTTACTGAGGGTCTCTTCATGGCTGGTGTGAATGTTGTAGCCCAGAATCTTGTACACGTGTATGCACATGCACTCTTGTTTGAGATGATTAAGAGTACAGCTGCTTCTGCAGAGTGCTGGGGAGGAGGCCGAAACAGAGCTGGTAGCCTTCTCCTTGCGCCTGCTGAGCACGCAGAAATAGCTGTTTTCTCATACAAAATCTCACTGTTTAAGCCTTACTCTTTAGAGTTCTCTGAAGAACAGATTTTTAAAAATATGTCGTTATTGAAGACCTCTGGCTCTTTTATCTCTTTTATCTCTTGGTTTAAGAGGCTATTTAGTAGTTCTTTGGGAGTATTACTTATGTATTTCTAAGCAGTTTTTTCATTTACAGATTCAGATTAAGCATACTTCAGATAGATTTAGATGCTGTACATGTATTTTCAAAGACTAATTAGGATGAGTGAAACTGTGGCAAAAATTTAATTTCCTCACTGAACACCTAACTTAATAGCTGGCTAAGTCCCCTAGTTGTTCATTTTTTGGTGGCTTTGAAAAGATCTCCAGATAGCTTAGAAGTTTGGGAGTTAAGAGCTGGATTCAATGTTATGGGTCTTCCTTAAAGTACCAAAACAAATTTAAGTGCTCAGGAAATACTAAGTGAACAAATGAACTCCTTAGCACATTCTGTGCTCTGTATTTATGTAAAAGGGGAAAGATTTTCTTCACTTTCTGCGCATTTGACATGAATCCTATGGCAGTTAATACACATCCCAAGCTTGTGCATCTGAGAACACTTGTAGTACAATAGGGAAGCCAAGCTTTTTCTAAAGCACACTTTTTTTTGAGATGGTTTTCATCTAGCTGGTCTGGCCTTGAGATCCTTGTGCTTTGCCTCCTTAGTAGTGGAGTTGCAGGTGTGTGCCACCTTAGCCAGCTGAAGCACACACTTGAAACAGCTTCTTGTCATGAGTACCTATTGTTTTTTGTGTGTGTGTTTTCGAGACAGGGTTTCCCTGTGCAATTCAGGCTGGCCTTGAACTTACTTTGTAGCCCAGGTGGGCCTCAAACTCACAGCGATCCTCCTGGCTCAGCCTCCCAAGTGCTAGGATTATAAGCCTGTGCCAACACACCCGGCCCCCTGTTGATTTTCTGAGGATGGTGTTTTGCTGCAATTGGCTTTCTCTCATTTTTCTTACCTTAAATTAATTTCCCTTCAAATAACATTGTGTTTCAAAAAAAGCTTTCTAGAGAATGTTTTCAGCATTAACATAAATATTTTTGTGTTCCACCCTAAGATTACAGTTATTCTTAAATTAGTCTTTCCAAGCAGGATACTCTACCATGTATGACCTAGCTTTTACACAATAATTATCTGGCTTTTTCTGGGATGAGTTGTTTTCAGATAATTTTTCTCTGGTTATTACTTTGGGAAAATAATATTTGTCATTATCCTATGATAATTACTTTATAAGTGACAGTGCCTGGCTTAACTGATACATGATTAAGTCTTCCAGCGGTTGAGTGATATAAAGTACACTTTAGTGTCCCTCATCTGCCTCTAAGTGTTTCCATTAAATTTACATGTTCCCTGGGACCTTTTACCTTTGTTGGGAGTTGAATTTTGTGAGAAAGACTTACTTTTTCCAAAAGTTCTTCGTATATAGTGCAGAGGTATAAGTTGGGGCAGTATTAGTGTGGGTTTTTGTTGTTGTTTGTTTGTTTGTTTTTAGACAGGGTCTTGCTGTGTAGCCCACGCTAACCTTGAATTTGCAGTGATTTTTGTGCCTCAGCCTCCTGAGTGCTAGGGTCACAGGCATGGGCCACTATGCCTCGCACGAGCAGTTTAAGTTTTAACAGTTGTTATGGCTGTGTCTGGAGCCGGGGATATAGCTCAGCGGCACAAGCGCCTGCCTGGCAAGTGCAAAGAAGAGAGATGGCTGTGTCTAGATGTACCCCTAAAGCCTCATGCGTCATAGGTGGAGCTTTTTCAGAGGTGGCTGAACCTAGAGTTTGTGACACGGAATTGATTCATGGTGCAATGCTAAGATCAAGGGCAGTAGGGTCAAGGGTGTGAGTGCTACCTGCCCTGAGTAGCCTGCATAAGATACGAGGCTCAAAAGAGCTGTGGTTGTCCCTTGCTTGCTTTTGCTCTGCTATCTTCTGCCCACCATGAACTGTTTCTCCTCTGTGATGCCTGGCTGCCATGCCACCCTGTTTTAGAACCAGCTGATTATGGCCCGGAAACCTCTACAAAGTATGAGCTAAATAAACCTTTCCCCATTTAACTCTGGGTGTTGGGGTATTTTGTCGCAGCAATGAGAAAAGTCACTAAAACAACAATAAAACAGTGGATGTGGTGGTGCATTCCTGTAATTCCAGCACTCAGAGGCTGAGGCAGGAGGATCACCGTGAGTTTGAGACCAGCCTGGGCTACATAAATGAGTTCAGGGCCAGCCTGAGCTGCATAGTGAGACCCTGCCTCAAAAAGAAAACAACAACAACAACAAAAAAACCAAACCTCTAAAAACATAAAACAAACAAATCCTGAAAGCCATGCCTACAGGTGGAGATTGCAGGCAGGCAGCAGGCCTGGCCACAGCGCCCTCCTCTCTTGGCCTCATTCTGTTGTGAAAATGCAGTAGGCTGATGGTGGTGCTGTTTCCCAGGGGTAGGGACAGACTGACAAAGACCCCCTCCAGCTTTATTAAGGTATAATTGGTATATCAAAATTACATCATTAATGTATACCGTTTAATGTATTTTGACACATATATTTACTTTTTACTATCGTCATAATCAAGATAAGAAACATGTCACTTCCACCAGTTTCCTTGTGCCACCCACACCCTTTCTTATACTAGGGACACTTAAAATGCAGTCTGCCTCTTCAGTGCTTAAGTGCACAGTGCCTTGTTATTAGGTGCCAGGTTATGGTCTCTGCAACTTAGCAATTCTGAATGACTAGCAGGGATACTTTTCTGGAAGTCTTACGTAGGTTTCAGAAACCCCAAAAATGGCTGCAGCGTCCTGGGACGTTTTGGTTTTCCTTGAAGATAGGATCCCGGAGAGAAATTATTTGAAGTTAGCTAGAAGGTGACACAGCATTTCCCCTACACTGTCTGCTGTTCCTCACACGGTCTCTCCTTCCCTTTAGCGAGATAAGCCGCCTGGACCTGGGCCTCAGCGTGGAGGTGTGGAACAAAGGGCTGATCTGGGACACCATGGTGGGGGTCGTGTGGATCGCCCTGAGGACCATTCGTCAGTCAGATGAGGTCAGTCAGAGCACCGGCCTTTCCTCATTCTGGCCCCACCCTAGCTGGATTTCTCTGGTCCTTTCTGGTCAGAGGGTATGTGACCTGCCTGTTCTTAATCTCTCCCAGGGAAGCGTCTTCTTCCTGTGTCCTGTGACAGCCCCGGCGGGGTGAGCTTGGGGGTCAGAGTGCCTCTCTGACCTCATCAGATGGGGAGCCTCACCTGAGTAGTGAGCCTGCATGCACACACGTTCCCCTCAAGACAAGGCCCGGGGAGTCCCACTAAACCTCCGTAGCCAGCTGGCTGGAGCCTATTTATGGCTTTGTTTCCTTGAGTTACCGGAGACATGGTTTCAGGCCTTTTCTTGAGCACGTAACCCTAACAGGACGTAAGGAACTGTCGGGCGTGGGAACTGGTGTTCACACCGTTGTGGTACAGCATCTGTAGAACTGAGCTCCCATCCCACTTCTTCCGGTTAGACTGTGACTCGGACAACATCACTGCCCTGTTTGTACTCACTTCATATGCAGACAGAAGCTATTATATTCCTGTGAGGCTCAACATGAACCATGAGTTTGCTCTGGGACTGGGGATGTTGAAGACATGGCCTCTGTTTTCTGTATTTCTTTTATTCCTGGCTAAATCTCTACAGCCCTAGATGGGCAGTTCACTTTCATTACAGCCATTGTTCAGTTCTATTGACCTGGCAATGTCAGGAGCTCTTTACTAATGAGAAATGGAGATACATATTCTTAAGTGACACAGTTGTTAAGAATCATGCAGATAGCTGAGCGTGGTGGCGCACACCTGTAATGCCAGCACTCAGGAGGCTGAGGCAGGAGGATCCTTGCAAGTTCAAGACCAGCCCAGCTACAAAGTGAGCTCAAGGCCAGCCTGAATTGCACAGCAAGACCCTGTCTCAAAAAAGACCAAAAAAACCAACAAAAAGAACAACAAAAAAACCCATCAGATTAACTGTCAATCCATGGAAAGGCTTCGCTTTAGAATTGATACTGCAGAAGCTGCGTCCCTGCCACAGGGAAGAGCAAGAGCCGTGTGCTGTCTGGGTGACAGTGGCGTGCTTTTTTTTCCTTTTTGAGACAGGGTCTCACTGTGCAGTTCAGGCTGGCCTTGAGCTCACTTCGTAGCCCAGGCTGGTCTGGAACTTGCAACGATCCTCCTGCCTCAGCCTCTGGAGTGCTGGGATTACAGGCATGCGCCCCCACCTCAGGCTTGACAGTGGCCTTTTTGCCTATCAGGACAAGCTGCCCTCAGCAGCTCTCGAACAGAGAACTCAGAGAAAAACACCTGACACTCGAACTAAGAGGGGAGCCAAGGAAAGATTAAAATCTAATCTTGGATTTTTGTTTCCTAGGAAGGGCCTGGGGAGTGGTCTACCTTGGAAGCAGAGACATTAATGAAAGATGACGAGATTTGTGGAACTAAAAACCCAACTCCTCATAAAATTTTACTTGATACAAGATTTGAGTTGCCATTTGGTAAGTCTGTTTGTTGAGACTTTATTATTTTTGGGTATTTTTCAGACGGGGTCTTTCTGTCTAGTTTGGCTGGCCTTGAATTTACAGTGCAGCCCAGGCTGGCTTCGAACTTACAGGGATCCTCCTGCCTCAGCCTCTTTAGTGCTGGGGTCATAGGTGGGCACCACCACACCAGGCACTGATGATTTTAAAAACCACTTAATTCTTTATGTCGGTTGTTTGACGTTATTTGCTGCTTGTTGCACTGGTACACGTTTGTCTTCTCAGCTGTTTCAGAGGGCGTGATGGGTTCTTCCTCCGCTCTGTGTCCCTGACTTCAGTGTGCTGCCTGTTAGAGTCCACACTGAAAACGCGTACTCTTCATCTTACTTAGGCCGGTGACTGTTACAATGATCTGTGAGATGTCTGCTTGTGAGATCTATTCTTTAACATCTGTGATCACAATGTGAATATTTACCTTGTGGTTTATTGATTTTAAGTTGAGTTGGGTATAGTGGCACATGCCTGCTGCAATCCCAGCACTTTGGGAGACTGAGGCAGGAGGAGCGCAAGTTCGAGCCCCGCCTGGGCAACTTAGTGACTTACTGGGACCCGGTCTCAAAGCAAACAAGATAATATAAGATAAAACAAAAACATTGAAGAGCACTAATAAGTAGAATAGTATCTTTTTTCCTGTGCGTGTGTGTGGTATTAGAGATTAAACCCAGGGACACTCTTCCACTGAGCTATCTCCTCAGCCTTTTTTTTTTTCACTTTAAGACAGAGTCTTGGGGCTAGGGACATAGCTTGGTGGCACAGTGCCTACCTGGCAAGTGAGAGGTCCTGAGTTTGATTCCCAGTATCAAAAGAAAGGGGACAGGGTCTTGTTAAGTTGCCTAGGCTAGCTCGAATCTGAAGTCTTCCTGCCTCAGCCCCCCAAGGAGCATGTGCCACTGCCCATAGCTAGTATATCACCTGTAGAAATAGATTTTATTTTATTTTTTTAATTTTTTTTTTCAGTACCAGGAGTTGAACTCATGACCTCACGCTTGCCAGGCAGGTGCTGTGCCGCTGAGCTAAATCCCTAGCCCCAGAAATAGATTTTAAAATCACAAAATCACCTACTTATGATAAAAATTCAAATAGTGAGGAAATAGAGATAATGAAGTTAATAGATTTTTGTTCTACTTCCACCTCCTGTGCATTTGCCAGAGGTCAACCACTGTTAACTTTTTGTGTGTCTTGCTTTAGACAAGAGACATTCATTTTCTAGAAATATACTTAGTAAAATTTGGGCTAGAGTGATATGTGGTATTATATAAACTACTAAAACGTGTGGCTCAGACATTGTTCCATGTTATACTTTAAGATCTTCCTTCCTTATCTGAACAAGTGCCTTCTCTGTAATATATCCAGGTGAGCCTGTGCTGATTGACATGCAGGTTGTTCCTAGTTTTTTTAATAGTACATACTGCTCTGATTTACAGTTTGTGTACCTGTGCCCATCATGAGTCTAGGATGAATGCCTTCATGCAGAATTGCAAGCTCCAAGAGGATGTATATTATTACGCATCTTAGATGCTGCAAAGTTACTTGTCAAAAAAGTTGTACAATTTATATTCTTTTTTTTTTTTTTTTTTTTTTTTTTGGTACTGGGAATTGAACTCAGGACCTTGTGCTTGCCAGGCAGGCGCTGTTCTGCTGAGCTATGTCCCTGGCCACAATTTATATTCTTATCAACTCCCTGAAGAGTGCCTACTTCTGCACTTCTTGCCAACATTTTGTATTTCCTAATTTTTGACCTTATCTAATTGTTTCTTTTTTTTGGTATCGGGCATTGAACTCAGGACCTCGCATTTGCTAGGCAGGCGCTGCACCACTGAGCTATGTCCCCAGCCTCTAATCGGTTTAAATGGTATCTTGTTTTAGTTGAATTCTTTTAGGGTAATTTTAATTTTTACTGTTTGCATTATTAGTATTGATGTATTGTTACTCCTACTGTTTTATGATTTCAGTTCATCTTGACCTTGTATCCTAAGGTGATTTAAGCAAAACTTCCATGATGTTCCAGCTAACCAAAAAATAACTAAATTCTTTTGTGTGTGTGTGTGTGTGTGTGTGTGTGTATGTCTTTTTGAGATAGGTCTTGCTATGCAGTGCAGAGTGGCCTGGAGCTCACTTTGTACCCCAGGCTGGCCTTTGTACCTCCTGCCTCAGCCTCCTGAGTGCTGGGATTACAGGCATGGGCCACCATGCCTGGCTTCAAAAATAACAAAATTCAGAATATTACCTGAAAAAACAATACAGAGTGCCAAGTGAAAGCGCAGCAGGTGTGTTTGTCTCAGCACTCTGCACGTGTTAGCAGCCCTGTGCTGTCACCCTTGACTGTCGGTGTATTTTTTTTTTAGTACCGGGAATTGAACTCAGGACCTTGCACTTGCCAGGCACGCACTGTACCACTGAGCTGTGTCCCTGGCCTTACACTCGGCTGTCTTGTGAGACCACAGGCAGAGAAAAGCGGTGGAGCTCTTGCTTCTGGCTTAGTGTTTGTGCTGTTTTCTAGTGCTGGTCTCCAGCAGTGGAGTCTCCATCTTGCTGCGCCGGGAAGTAGCTGATAGTGAGTCCTGGGCTCAATGCCACAGACACTGGCTGCTCTCACCAGTGTTTAGCAGATTGTTTTGAGTAAATAATTTCTTTGCTGCATGCCCTAGGAACAGTACCAGAGACTGTAAATGGCTGGGTTTTTTGTTGTTTTTATTTGGTTTTGTTTCTTTTAATGTATGTAACTTACACCAGTTTTGCTAGGGATCTGTCTTTAGAGCTTATTCTGTCATGGCAGGGGTTTGTTCATCCTCCATTAAATTTTAAACACACATTCTCTAGTAATACATCACTTACATCCTGTCATAGGTAGCAGTATGTGTTTCTATCAAGATTTTGAGATTTTTGAGTTTTGTTTCTTTTCTTTTTTTTTGGTTTTTGAGACAGGGTCTTGCTGTGCGGTCCAGGCTGGCCTTGATCTCACCCCAGTCTTTCTGCCTGAGCCTCCCAAGTGCTGAGATTATAGGCATGCGCCACTATTAAATTTTGAGTTTCTTGAGGGCCTTGTGTAAATATGTCTGTTGTTTACTTGACACATGATAGGGCCTAATAAATAGTAGTTTGAGTAAACTGGTAAAATTTCAGGTAAGTGAAGTTTGATTTTGACTGGACGTAATGTGAATGTGGCCCTGTTATTACTGTACTTAGGGTTAGAATACATCTTTTAAAAGTTTAATAAGGGACCCTTCCTTTTTAAGGCTGAATAATAACTTGCATTGTTTATACATATAGCACTTGGCATACTCTTGCATCTGTTCGTGGACCCTTGGGTTACTTCAGCTCTTAGCTGTTGTGAATAATGGTGCTGTGAACGTGGATGTACAAATATCTTTTTGAGATCCTCTTAGATATATACTGAGGAGTGAGATAGCTGGATCACATGGTAAATAAATAAATAAATAAATTGCATTTGTTTATTTGCAGTACCAAAGATTGATTGAACGCAGAGCCTTCACACTGAGCTACACTTCCAACCCCTTTTTAAAAATTTTTATTTTGAGAAGGTCTTGCTGAGTCACTAAGTTGCCCAGGGTGGGCTCAACTTGAAAACCTTCTTGCCTCAGTCTTCCAGAGTGTTGTGATTATAGGTATATGTCATTACACCTGGCTGAGTTTTTATCATGTTTATATCCTAAGATCCGACTTTTTCACCTAAGTTGGTCTTTTGTACTGTTTTGATCTTGCTGAGTGAAGGGTTATATAGAAAAAAGGGTTACATATGATTATATAGAAAGTATGGTTTTTGGAATTACATTGATCATAGTTTGAGTCACAGCTGATAAATGACCATAGCCAAATTATTTATTTATTTGTTTATTTATTTAGCTGTGTAGTCCAGGTTGCCCTGGAACTTTCTATGTAGGCCCAGGTGGCCTTGAACTTGTGCTCCTCCTGCCTCTGGCTATTGAGGCATATAGCACCATGCTTGGATATTTAACTTTCTGAGCTTCAGTTTCTTCATTGCAAAAGAGAACATTGGGATTAGTATAGTAGTGCATTATATTGGTTTTAGTAAAGATTTAAAATAATGTGTATGGCAAGAACTGAGTCACCAGTAACTATCACCTTTCAAACTATAAGCATTTGACTAAACAAATGTTACCTACTGATGTTGAGCTGTGGTCAGTGTGGCTGACATGTCTTCTTTTTTATGGCAGATATCCCAGAGGAGGAAGCCAGATACTGGACTTACAAGTTGGAGCAAATCAATGAGCTGGGAGCTGACAGTGAGGTGGGAACGGTCTTATTTGCAGTGTGGAGAGGGAGAGAAGTCTCTGATGCATTTCATAGGTTGTCCAGGGGAGGTCCCGAGAGCATCTTGTCCTGCAGCATGAAATGACTTAAATGTCACTAAGGAAAGAGAGTAGTTAGCGTCCTGAAATTTCACTAGAAGGCTCCATCTCCCCCTCTTGTTTTTCCCAGTGTCCTTTTTCTTTTTTTGGTCTTTTTGAGACAGGGCCTCACTCTGCAGTTCAGGCTGGCCTTGAGCTCACTTTGTAGCCTTGGTTGGTCTCTAACTTGCAATAATCCTCCTGCCTCAGCCTCCTGAGTGCCCAAATTACAGGCACCACCATGCCTGGCTGGCTTTAAGTCCCAGTGTCCTTCAAACAGTCAAGGTAGTCTGGCTGTGCAGTCTGTTGAGGAAGGAGCTGCTACCAGGAAATCTGTCCTCATGTGTTACACAAATGAGAAGGGATTTCTTCTATTCCCACCCAGATTTTTGGATATTATGTTCATTTATGTGCTCTCTTTAGGGACCATTGGACTATTTGCAATTTTTTTTTTACATTGAGGATTTGACGTATATTTACAGTGAACTACAACCCCAGCTCTATTTTTTGGTACCAGGAATCGAACTCAGGACCTTGCACTTACCGGGCACGTGCTTATGCTGCTGAGCTAAATCCCTGCCCTACGCCCCCAGCTCTTTTTTTATTTTTTATTTTGAGGCAGAGTTTTGCTAAGTAACACAGCCTGCAATCTCCTGCGTTAGCCTTCTGGAATGCTTGGATAACAGTTGTGCACCACCACGTGTATTTTGGTCCTGGTTTTATAATTTATCTCTAGAAATGAGTCTAGTGTATACAAAAGAACACAGTCAGGTCAGTCTGGGGTGTCAGGAAAGGAGAACAGTTTCGCTATTGGCAGTTGAGGGAAAAGATAGTGTTTCCTTTTACACAAGTTGAGCTGTTAAAAAATGAGTCTCAGAGCGTCAGGGTATTTCAATGGAATTGTCTAGTAAGCAGCTTTATGAGAGCGTCCAAAGCTTATGCTTGAGGACAGTGGACCCAGAGTTTGAATTCGTCAGTGTATTAGTGCTGATTGAAGTCATAGCAATGGAAAAGCTTGCTCTGGTGGATCATGTAGAGAAAGTATTGAAGAAGAACAGGACAAAATTTGGGAAGCATCAAAGATAGAGTTCTGGGAAATAAGAGTCAGAAAAGGTTGCCTGAAAGGGAAAAAATAGGAGAAAAGTTCATGGAACAAAGAAAAAAATTAAAAGAGGAAAGGTTTATGGAACAAACAGAGAAGAGATTCAGCATAGAAATTCGTGCGTAGTATCACAGGCTCAAAGAAAATTAATTCTAAAATGGAGCTACTGGTTTTTAAATATACATATTTTCAGTGTTTTGGTTTTTTGAGGTGCTAGGGTCTGAACCCAGGGCCTTCTGTATACTAGGAAAGCACTCCTATTGCTGGGCTACGTCTCCAGTCTGAGCTGTTGGGTTTGGTTACCAACAACCAGCGTCCATCTGGAGAATAGTAGAGAAGCTGTGGTTTGATAGTGTGTTAATTTCTTAGGGCTGCAGTGAAGTACTACAAATTGGGTGACTTAAAAACAACCAAAATTTATTTTGTCACAGCTCTGGAGGTTAGAAGTTTGCAATTAAGGTGTTGGCAGGGTCAGTTCAGGTTCCTCTGGAGCTTTGAAGGAGGACCCATTCCGTGCCTCTCCCCTAGCTGTGACGGTTGCTTACTGTTTGGGGCTTGTAGATGCACCTTTCTAACCTTAGCCTGAATTGTCACCTGCCTCTCTGTGTTTTCATAGTGCATTCCCTTGTCTCTGTCTGTGTCTAAATGTTCACTTTTCTTAGAAGGACATCATCAGTGGATTACTTTGGTTACCTCTGCAGATTCCCTATTGCCATATGCAGGCATATTCATAGGTACTTAGGGTTAGATGTCACTGTATCTTTTTTTGAGGACACAGTTCAACCCAAAATGAGTTAAATGAAAGATAAAGAAATAGAATTTAGTACAAGTGACAACTACTTTTTCAGGCTTTTCCTTTACTTCAGCTGAATCCTTTAGTAGAATTTCTGTTATTAAACCACATAACTCACCTAATGGCCAAGTCAACACACTAACTTTTTCTTTGTTGAAAGAGAAAGTCTTTTTCTCTTCTTGATAACTCTCAGCATTTGTTCTGTCCTTGCATCTACTCTGGGCTTTTGTTCTCCTTAAATAGTAGATAGCCTTGAAACTTTTATTATCTTTTCCTGGCAAAAAAAGAAACTACTCCTTTATAAAGTAAATAAATGTTTTTATCATAAGATATATTGTCACATAAGATATAAGTCACATATTGTGGAAGAAATATGTTTTGTGAGCTAGGTGTGGTGACACATGCCTGTAATCCCAGCACTCAGGAGACTGAGGCAGGAGGATCATTCTGAGTTCAAGACCAGCCTAGGCTACAAGTGAGCTCAAGGCCAGCCGGAACTGCATAGTGAGACCCTGTCTCAAAAAAGACAAAAAAAAAAAAAAAAAAAAGTTATGTGACTTCAGTCACACCAAACTTAAGAAACTAATAGCCGCTCTGTATTGTTTAAGATTTTTATCAATTTATGAGTAAAATATATAGGTTGATGGAACTTGGGGAGACAATGGAAAGTAAAATAGAATTTTGACTAAAAACAAGCAATAAATACGATTGTTTCAGTAGTAGAAGGCAAATACAAAAGGATATACGAATCAAAGTATAAACTTTAACTGTGAAGTATTTTGCTTTTTCAGTGTCAGTGGATAAAACAGTTTTTTGTTTTGTTTTTGTGCTGGAAATCAAACTCGGGACCTTGTGCTTTCCAGGCAGGCACAGGTGCTTGTGCCGCTGAGCTATATCCCTGGCTTGTTTTGTTTTTTGAGATGGTCTCGCTGCGTAATACAGGCTGACCTTGTATTGGCTAGGGTTCACTAGAGGAACAGATTTAATATAAAGGATTTACAAGGTAGGCTTAAAATGGCTGCCTGCAGAGGTGGAGGATGCAGGAGGAGTGTGTGTGCTGGAGAGCAGAGGGTCCAGTCAGAAGCTGAAGGCCTGGAGCTCACTGTAGAGCACCCCATAAGTCTGGATCAGAAGGACGAAGTGTTTGCGTCGGAAGGCTGGAGAGTGTGCTAGAAGCTTGGAGAAGGACGTCCAAGGGCAGCAGTGAACACTGGAGCTCTTCTAAAAAAGCAGGAGGGAGACTTCCTCCTTTCCTTTTGTATTCCGTCCAGGGGACAAGCCTCTGGGTTGGTGCCACCCACACGCAGGGGCCGTCTTCTCTCTTCAGAGTCAGTCATTCAGACACAACCGGCACTGTGCTAAACTGATTTGCTAGCATTCCTTACTCAAACTGACACCACCATTAACTATCACAGAGCTTAACTCCCTGTATGGCCCAGGCTGGCCTTGAACTAAAGATCCGTCTGCCGCATGCTCCTGACTGCTGGGTTACAGGCACTCACTGCCATGCCTGGCTCATTGAATGGTTTTTCCTTCTACAGATTAATGTAGAAAAAACTAGTATTGGAGAGGAATTTATCCTTTTGTACCCATCGTGGCCTTCGTTACAAATTCAATTCTAAATGATTTTATTTTTGATGATATAGTTGATATTTATAGTAATTATTCTTCACACTATACTTTTGACTTTACAAGCTTTTTGTCACTATGGAATCAGTTGGATTAAAATGCTAAAAAAACAAATACAACTTTGATAAATATGGCAGAATTTTGCAAATTTTAATAACAGTGGTTCTGTTGTTTCCAACTCCCTATGAGATTTTTGCTTCCTGTTTGTATTTTAGGTCAAGATATGGAACTCACTAAGTTTACATCTTTCATCTTATACCACTGTTTCCCTCCCCTCCCCTCCCTCTCATTTTTTTGTTTGTTTTGTTTTTTTGAGACAGGGTCTCACTGTGTAGTTCAGGCTGGCCTTGAGCTCACTTTGTAGTCCAGGCCGCCCTCAAATTCACAGCGATCCTCCTTCCTCAGCCTCCGAAGTCCGGGGATTGCAGGGATGGGCCACCACACCTGACTCCTGTTTTTTGAGATAAGGTCTTGCTATGTAGCTCAGGCAGCAACTGAACTCAGGCTGGCCTCAAACTTGTGACAGTCCTCCTACTTCAACCTCCCAAGTGCTGGGATTACAGGCATGAGTCATGCCTGGCACCACTGCTTCTTTACTGGCTTTTTTCCTTGTACTGGAGATTAATCCAGGGCATTGTGCATGTCAGGCAAGTACTTTACCACTAATCTATATCCTCAGCCCTTAAATAGCCTTTTTGAGACGCAGTTTATACATATCATGCAATGTACCCATTTAAAATGTGCAATTCGGTGGCTTTTAGAATATTCAGAGTTACACATCTGTCACCACAAGCAATTCTGGACATTTTCATTACCCTACAGAGAGACCCTGTCAGAGCCATCACTGTCAAGTCCCTTCATCCTCCTCAGCCTTAGGTAGCCGTTAATCTAGCTTCGGTTTTTCTGTATTAACGTCGGCTAGACATTTCATAGAGGTGGAATTACATGTGGTCCTCAGTGATCGTCTTCCTTCAGCTAGCGTGTCCTCCTATTATTAGCATCTTATATTGGTGTGGCATACGTGTTACAGTTAAGGAACTGATATTGATGTAGTACTAACTAAAGAATTATTGTTATGCATTTTATTAATTAAAAGTCGGAAAATTATTACCCACAGAAATGATAAGTGTTCCAGTATCTGTCCCAGGTTACTGCATTACATTTAGTTGTCACACTTCCTTTGCTGTTGCATTTCCTTAGACTTTCCTTGTTTTTTTGTTATGACCCTTATTTTTAAAAATTCATTGCTTAAGACATCTGGTAACACATTCTTCTTTACATGTGGACTCTGCATCAGTGGATACAACCTATCTTGAGTTGAAGATACTTTTTTTTGTTTGTTTTCTGGTACCAGGAATCGAACTCACGATCTTGCACTTGCCAGGCAGGTGCTATACTGCTAAGCTAAATCCCCAGCCCCCTTGAGTTGAAGATATTTAAAAAAAAAAAATCCACCCATACTTTTCTGTGTGTGGCGTTAGAGACTGAACCTGGGGCCTCACATAATGCTAAGCCAGTGCTCTGCCACTGAGCTGTACCCTTTACCCATAAAGATTGTTTTCTTTGTTGTAACCTCTCCAAATGGCATAGACTAACGTTGCCTTAGACTTTTACATTGTCTTAGGTATTGTAAATACTCTAGATACGCTTGAAGTATACAGGACAACATGCATAAGTTAAATGCAAATACTTGCCATTTTATATAAAGGTTTGAGCATCTGGGGTCTGAGATTCACGAAGGGTGTCCTGGAACCAGTCCCCATCACCGGGGGTGATAGATGTGTAACTTATAATAGGAAGTGGAGAGCCTGCCTTTTTCCTAACTATAAGGAGAGTGCGTTGCCCTAAAGTATGACTTTAAAATTTGTCATTGACTTTGGTAGATATTATTAGGTTAAAGAAATTCTATTTTCTTTCAGATTTTTTTTTCAGATTTTCTAATAAGCATTTTTGTCACGAAACTGGGATTTTATACAACCATTATCTATTCTATTAGATAACATATTTTCCTCTTTAATCTCTTTAATGTGGTGAATTACATGAGTAGGTTTATAGATAGTTAATAGTTCTTATGTTTAAAGCTCACCCAGTCAGGTTATATGTGCATTTTATGCATACATGCATATATATGCACACATGCATATATGTGCACATATATAGACACATTCACGTATAAATATTACATACTTATATAATGTGAATTATCTTAGTAATCTATTGGTATTTTTGTCTGTGTTCATTGATGAGGTCAACCTATTTTCCTATTTTATAGTATCTTTGTCAGGTTTTTACAGATAGATTATTGTGCGTGTGTTTTTGAGATAAGAGTTTCACCGTGCAGTTCAGGCTTGCCTTGAACTCCCTTTGTAGCCAGCACCGTAACTGATAGTCTTGGTGTTAGGGTCACACAGAGAAAGTAGCAGTGGGTTGTTCTGTTTCATTAATAACAAATTTAACTCAAGTCGAGCACTAAACCTTTTTGTAGGTGGCTGAGGTTCCCCCTGTACTTGGGCCTCTTGTTACATATTTCTTCCTCCTCTCTCCTTCTAGTGTTCTGTGCAAGAAGAAGGTCTGAGGAAGCCACTGTCCACGGCCGCCGCCCAGTGCTGTGAGTGAGGAGCCTGCCGCTCAGCCTGTCGTAACTGCAGCTCTCTTAACCTTCTTCAGTGTGGCTTACGTGGGGTTGGGAGGGCAGAGGCACATGCTTGTAAGCAGAAGGGATTCCGGAAGTTCTGCTGTCTAGGCACCTGCTTCAGGAAGAGGCTTTGTATGCTTTTGGCAAGGTAGCAGTGCTCATTGTTTTTTTCCATTTGCAAGCTTTTACTACTGGGTGTCTGATTTTACCCTCTATCTTTGTTTACCTGTTT